TAATGGGCACACCCATGAGAACGGAATGATGGTCGGTTGAAACTTGTGTATTGTATATCGTCGTTTACATAAACGGCAGTACAGTTCAAAGACATCACGTTCTACTGAACAGCCAGTAGAGAAGGTATACTTTACAAGGAGTAGGTTCAAAGGCATAAAACCTACCTATTCTTGCAGGTTTCAACTTCAGAGTTATTGCCAGTTACATGAATTAATTTTCATTCATGTGGGGGATTGTTGGAAATTTTTAAGGTAAATTGGACATTTTCGGACATAAATTTGGTTGGGTCCACAAAATTATTTTCCAAAATAATTATGGACGATTAATCTCGTAAGTAAGGCGAACGTCTTGATATATGACACGTCATAAACGGTGCTCGGGTGAATGAGAAATTAATTCTCAAAGTTGAACACTAAGGTAGAGTAAATGCCTTTGTCCCACACCGGTTTCTAAACCTTTCGTATTCTCATATTTAAGCTTAGGCATTGAATTGAGCTTATGAAAGGAACAAGAAGAGGACTCCTCGCGCGCCCGCCGCCGCCGCCGTCTGTCCGGCTCGACGCGCGCGCGGCGGGGCGGGGCGTGGCGAGGCGCGCCCGCGTCTGCGGCGTGGTGTGGCTAAATTTTTACGAGACCGAATTAAACACGCGTGGACACTTCGTGATTAACGAAGTGCCGTTCAAATGAAGCATGCATGCACTTGAGGACGAAAGGACACTCGTCCCCTCGTAATTTCCGTGCAGTCCAAGCGAAGAGCCAACTCCCCTCCTATAAAGGGAGGGGTTGGTTGCTGAGAGAGGAGACATTCGAAACAATCTCTCTCTCTGCGTTATACAAACTTTCCGACGATCTCCAAATCTCCGATCACCTTCTCCGGCGATAACTTCCCGTCGTTCTCGTTCGCCGGTGCTTTGTTCTACCGCTCTAGACCTAGCACGAAGCGGTTTTATCCTGGGAGGAGATTGCCCACGTTAGCTAGTGCGGGAGGCGGGCAATACTACCTTAAGGAAAGCTTCGGCGACTCCGCTTTCCTCACCCTTCTTTTGCTCCGGCGTCGTTCCTCTCTCCGTCCGTTCGTGTTCTCGCATTCGTTCAAACATCCGAAGACTCCAAGTTTTTATTTTCTTTATTTTGTTGTAAAATCCGAACGTTTTATAAGTTCGGATTATTTTTATTTTATTTTCCCGCTCTAATATTCAACACCTTCAAATGAGCTAGAACTGATGTGGATTAATCCTCAAAATGTCGTAGATGAATAATGACTCAAGAGGGTTGACCTTTAATTTTGCCCAGATTTAACCTTCGAGGTCTGCAATTGATCTTAGCACTGGGTTCCCACGCCTCAAAGAGGAAGAGATAAGAAACTTGAATGGATTAAGATGCGGTGATAAGAAACTTGCAAAGAGGAAAAACGAAATTAGGAAGCTGGAGAATTAAATTGGGAAGAGGGAGAATCAAATTGAAAAGAAGGAGAATGAAATTGAGAAGAGGGAAAATGAATTTTTTGATAATTGGGAAGAGGGAGAATGAAATTGGAAAGAGGGAGAATGAAATTGGGAAGAGGGAAAATGAATTTTTTGATAATTGGGAAGAGGGAGAATGAAATTGGGAAGAGAAAAAACTTCCCATTTTTTCTATGTACTTCTAGTTTCTTCCAACAATGATTTAATATAACTTGATATGATCTTGTCTGATCTAATATGTTAAGATCTAGTCTGATTTGATCTGATCTGAGTGAAATTATATGTAAGGTTATTGATCATTTGATAAAATAAAATACTCTTGTCACCTTTTATTTTGTAGAGTTTTCGATGTAGTTTTTAAATATAATTTTTTTATGTGTTATTTTTTACCAATTTGCAAATAATATGATTTTAAAAATCACGGGGTTTTACACGTTAATCAAAGTAAGAAATTCTTTTTGGGACGGAGGAAAAAGTTGTTTTGGAGAGATCTAAAATGGATCTTATATGACCAAAAATATTAGTATTTAGAAGAATTGGATCTGTGCAAGTAACCAGTTCAGTTATCAGTACCGGAAAGATCTTATACGGTCAAAAGTATGAGTATCCTAAGGAATTGGATCAGTGTGAGTAACAAGTTCAGTTATTAGTACTTCTAAAAGTATACGTATTTAGAAGAATTGGATCTGCGCAATTACCTTGTTATTATCAGTACTTGTAAGATCTTATATGGCCAAAAATATGAGTATTTAGAAGAATTGGATATGTGCAAGTAACCAGTTCAGTTATCAGTAACGGAAAGATCTTAGCCATTTACGACACAACCTATACAAGTAAATAGATCTTCTTTGAAGATTTGATCTAATATTATTATATCAAATTTCATTTGATCAGATTAGATCTGTTTTGGTTTAATTCGATCTAATTATGTCCGATCTAATCCTTTTAAAGATTACATAAGAAAAATAGGACACACCCTATATAAAAGTTTAGATTTTCTTGGAAGATTTGATCTGATCTTATTGGTTTTGAAGTTGATTTGATCCGATTATATCTGTTTTTGTCCAATTTGATCTAATTACGTACGATCTGATGCATTTAAAGATTAGATCAGGGAAATAAGACACAACCTATATAAGTGAATAGATTTCCTTCAAGTTTTGATCTCATCTTATTCGATTTGAATTTAATTCGGTCCGATTGGATCTATTTTGGTCTGATTCGATCTAATTAGATCTAATCTAATTAGATCTAATCTAATTTGATCTGTTTTTGTCTAATTTGATTTAGTTTGGTCTGATCAGATTTATTTATAGATTAGAACAGCCAAAAAAGACACAGCCAATATAACTAAGTTGTTTTTTAAGATTTGATCTAATCTTAATAGATTTGAATTTGATTCGATCAGATTAGATCTTTTTTGGTCTAATTCGATCTAATTCAGGCAAATATGACACAACATATACAAGTGAATAGATTTTCTTGAAAGATTTGATCTGATCTTCTCGGATTTGAATTTGATTTGATTCGATTAGATCTTTTTTTTTCTGATTCGATCTAATTAGGTCGGATCTGTTGGAACAGGAGTTTACGCCTACGTCGTACTAAACTGTGTTCGCTTTATGATAGGTTTTGATAATGTCAAACCGCTGTGAAATAACAAGGCTAAAGTGAGCAAAACCAAGGCGAAGGAACATGGCTTGATTATTTGAGAACCAAGAACCAAGAATCAAGAACGAAGAATTAGTATTGTATTGAGTCGGTCTTAATGTGATCAAGACTGGCACAAACTTTCAAAACTTGGCTCTCTAGGCTCATTTCATCAAAATACTTTTGCAAATTCAAAAATGTTTTTCATAAGTTTTAAACATGCCTAAAAACACTTGGAGTTTGCCCAAATCAAAAATCAAGCCATCCAGCGTTCGGCTTTCAGAAACCAGCGTTTGGCTTTCGGTTTTCGGCGTTGGTTTTTGGCGTCCGAACCAACCAAGTGGTTTTCAACTTTTTATGATTGGTTTTTACTTCTGGGCATATTTAAATAGTTCTCCAAGAAAAACTCTTCAAAAACCACCTTTCGTTTTTGGTCATTTAGTGAAAACCATGCGAGACGGCGTAAGGTTGACTAGCCATGGTTTTCAAATTAAATGACGTGGGTTTTAAAATTTTTTACTTGATTTCTTAGCAAAATTCTTTAAGAAAACATTTTCAATACCTGTTTTTCATTTTGGAGAACTTACGTTTTTGACATCGGCTAACGGCTGACTAAACCAACAGCGATGTTGGTGAAACCAACAGCGCTGTCTGGCTTGGGTAGCTGAAAACCATGATTTGGCGTTAAGTCTTCCAACAGCGATGTTGGATATTAGACATCGCTATTAAGCCAAGGTTGGGTTTCTAGAAACATCTGGAACAGCGATGTAGCCTTCCCTACATTGCTGTCCAATCTAAGCAAAAAATATAGTGCATTGGCAGAAAGTTTTTGGACAGTGATGTTGACCCAGCAACAGCGCTGTCAGGCCAAACTTCCACCTTCTGAGTCAAACCTAAACAGCGATGTTCAAGTAATGAACATCGATGTAGGGACCTGACTGTTGGAAAGAATTTAAGGCTAAAACTTTCCTTGTTTGGAAATCAACAGCCAAAACAGCGATGTAGGATTTTTGGACATCGCTGTTGGAATGACCGTTGCTTCCCATTTTTTAAAACCCAAGCCTAGAACAACGATGTCCAAGCCTAGGACAGCGCTGTCTGGGTGAATTTCAGCAAATCCCAATTTAATCAAATCCCACAAATTGTGCCAATCACCCCTTAAATGTTTTGGTTCGTTGGAGCCTATTTTTCCACTATAAAATGGGGTATTTGGGTCTGTGTTACACATCACATTACTTCACAACTCCTACTCTTTCATTGCAAATCATTCATCCTCTTTTCATAGCTTTTTGAGAGCCATTTTTGTGAAGCTTGTGTTGTGTTCTTGAGCGTTCTTAGTTACTCATTATCCACTCTAAAAGAGAGTATTGTTCTTGAGAGTTCTTAGTGTTCTTAGACACTTGACAAGAGAAAATATTTCTCTTGTTGTTCGAAGGAAGGGTTGTTTCCTTCGAAGGTTCGTTGAGGTTCGTGTGACTCGAACTCTCAAGTTGTACGGGTTTGTTAAGCACCGTTAAGCTTAACGAGATAGTAGTGTAGCTCGAGAGAGTCTCTCGGGACGCTGGATTTGCCACAAGTTGTGGTGAACCAGGGTAAAATTGGTGTGCCTCTTACTCTTCTCTTTACTTCTCGTTTATTCATTTTTTATTCCTGCGATTTCTTGATTAAACGCTATTCACCCCCCCTCTAGCGTTGGTCTCTTATTCTAACAATTGGTATCAGAGCCTAACTCGTGTCCAAACTTAACCGTTTGAGAGTAAAACCGGTCATGGGTTCTTCTTCTATAAATTTATATGCAGGAATAGGTGAATGGCAATCAACCAAGCGACCACCTCTTTTTGATGGAACCAATTATACATATTGGAAAGAACGAATGAGAATCTATATTCGTCCCACAAACTTCCAATTATGGTTGGTTATCAAAAACGGGGAAGAGGTGCCAATGAAGAAAGTCGGAGATAAGTTGATCCCCAAGACCGAAGACGAATTTGATGCCAAAGACATCAAGAAAATAGAAAACTATGCAAAGGCGATTAACATGCTCTACTGCGCGGTCAATCCCGATGACTACCGCAAGATCTCCTGCTGCTCAACCGCCAAGGAGATGTGGGATAAGCTCGAGGTGACGTACGAACGAACGGATCAAGTACGTGAAGCCAAGATTGACTTCCTCACCCAAGAGTATGAGATGTTAGGATGAAGGAGCATGAGAAGATCGAAGAAATGTTCGACCGTTTTTCAAAAATAGTCAACGACCTTCATGCATTAAAGAAGACGTACACCGACAGGGATCTTGTGCGAAAGATCCTACGAAGCTTGACATCCGAATGGCGATCCAAGGCCGATGCCATCTATGAATCAATCGGCACATCAAATGTCACCATCGATGGTCTAAGAGGTAATCTAAAAACCTATGAATCTACTATTCTTAACCCATCTTTGAATGACCAAAGGAAAGGGATAGCATTAAAAGCCGTCAAAGAATCAACGATGGATGATTCAAGCGACGATGATGAAGTCAAGCTTGTTATGAAGAAGTTTTGTAAACTTCTAAGGAAGAAAGAAAAGGTTGAGGATGACCCTGTGTGCTATGGATGTGGAGAAGTCGGTCACATCAAGAACAAATGCCCGAAAAGCGGAAGGAATGCTCGGCACTTCAAAAGGCAAAGGGCATATATCTCTTGGGGTGGCGACTCCAGTGACGAGTCAACCGACCAAGATGAGGATGAAGCTGCCAACCTCTGTCTCATGGAACACGAGGACCAAACTGATGATGTACAAGAGGTATGTACCATTTCTTCCGACTCTTATACCTTTGAAGAAATGCAAGAAGCACTTCACGAACTTTATGATGAATTTGTTAGCGCTTCTAAAATCAACAAATCGTTAAAGAAACGCTTCTCCACCCTTGAAAATCATTTTGAAAAACTAGAAAAAGAAAATGAGAAGTTGAAACAAGAAAATAAATTTTATGGCAAAAGAAGCGCCGACAAACCGGAAAGTTCCTCAAACGAATGTGAATCCTGTAAAGCTTTAAAGGAACAAGTCACTAAACTTGAGAGTACGGTTAAGAAATTTAATACTCCGCACAGAGATCTTAATTTACTCCTTAAAACCATGCATTTTTCTAAAGAAGGAATAGACTTTAATAAAAATGGAGCTAAGGATAAAGAAAACGTTGAGCAATCACCTAGACAACCACCTAAGGTTCAACGTAAGAAACTTAAAAATCAGAATAATAGAGAACCTAGTCAATCTAAGAACACTAGACAACCTAGACAAAAACCTAGGAATGAAAATGTTCATAGTAGACAACCTAAGAAAAATGATTGTGTGCATAATAACAATTTTTCTCGAAATAGAAGAAATAATATGAGAACACCTAGAAATGATCATTTTGAAGACATGCATAAACCACCCTTTTCTCAAAATAGGACAAACATGGTTAGGCCCCCTAGCTATTATCAACCTAGGCATATCATATGTTCAACCCAAACGTAATATGCCATTATTGCAATAGGGTAGGACATATAGCTCCCGTATGTTTTACCAGACATAGGCACTTCACCTATAATGAAACACACAACATTTTTGGCGCTAACGAAAAGAAATCCTTTAGAAAAGGATATTCGTATCATAGGCAATCTCCACAGGAGAGTGCACAAAAGAAACCATATTATTTCTTCTACTTTGACGAAAAGAAGAAAGTCCACATTCCGTTACCAGAACCAACACAGACCACACCGAGATATCGGCACTCCGTTCAGGTAGATTGGAACCCGCCAACCACGGGACGACGGGTTGGCCAAGGTAACCTCTAAATAATCATCAATTAGTGAGTGTGTGTGTGTGGAAATAAACATTCAGTGTGTGTATGGATAATAAAAACCAATTAACCTCCAAGGACCCATAAAAATATTTTAGGTACCAAAGCGCTACTTTGCAGGTAATCAACAAGCAACAAAACCAGGGGGAACAATGCAAACAGCGTCGTTCAAGAGACCCAACAGCGCTGCTGAAAGAAACACCGTCAACAAGGTTGAGACAACAGCGCTGTACAGCACTGCAACAGTGCTGTCACAGGGAGTCCCTTTACCTTATGCTTTCTAGACTCTTTTTCAACAGCGCAGTCCCTTTTCCAACATCGCTGTCCACCCAAAACACATAGTTTTCAACCAAAACCAGAAACTTTTCAAACAGCGATGTCTACCTTCTTCAACAATGCTGTCCATTTTTACAAATTTTTTTTATCGTAAAACAGCGATGTAGGGAAACCCAACAGCGCTGTTCTAATGGGTTCAACCCCTTACACATTTTAGAAACTTTGTGAACATCGCTGTAGGATACCCAACATCGCTGTCCATTTGACACTTGTTTTTTAAAACTAGTCGCACAACAGCGCTGTCTGGAAGCTTAACAGCACTGTCTGGACATCGATGTAGCATAGGGGACATCTCTGTTCTAACTGAATTTTTCAAAAAAAAATACCCGTTGGCAACAGCATTAATTGCTTCAACAGCCATATTTTTGAAAAGTTGGACGTTGGAAACCTTTTTTTTTTTATAAATTGGGACCCCCTCTCCTTACTTTTACACACACAAACACAATTCTCTTCAATATCTTTGCATATTTCATCCTCTCTACTTTCCTCTTTTGAGATTTCTTCATCATGGGCAAAGACAAGAGCAGGGCTGCCACTCCGGGAAATCCAAGTCCAAATCCCGGGCACTGTCAACCAATTCCGAGGAGCGCCTCTACTATGGCGACGGGTCATACCTCTGGTTCCATTCGAGGAAGAGCGTGTTAGACGCCTCGCACACCTCTAGAGGGGGGGTGAATAGAGGTGTTGCCCAAAAGACCAGTTTTTTTGCGCGGAAACGTTCTTCACGAATATTCAATAAAAACAATGCACCACAAACAAAATAAAGTGAAGGATAAGCGCAATGCACACTCGATATATACTGGTTCGACCTAAATGCCTACATCCAGTCCCCGAAGCAATCGTGCCCAGGCCTTCACTAACCCGTCAAACTTAACGAAGTTTGACAATCAGAATACAACTCGAGAACTATTCGAATAGTTTGGATCAATCGCGTGGCTTGAAAAACCAGTTCTTATTCGAATAAATGGTTATTTATTCGAATAAATCAGATTGAAAAACCAAGACTTATTCAACTAGTTCTGGATTTATTCAACTAAGTCAGAATAGAAGTTCAGGGATTTATTCGAACAGTTTTCGATTTATTCGAATAGTTTTTTGGAAAAAAATATGTTTTAAAGGAAGGATGATAAGGGAATGAACCTTAGAGATGTCATACTCTTTAACACATAATCTAAGACCTAAAACACTACCCAACTAAGGAAACAACCTCTTCGGTCTCGTTCCTTCCACCGATGCTCAAGTCCCTTCTTCACGGACGGATATGAACTTGTTGTAGCTTTGATTCTTAGCCTTGATGCACAATATAATGATGATGTTTTGTCACCCTTTTGTCATTATCAAAACCTAAAAGACAATGGGCAAAGGACATTGCAAAAATATATATTCATGATAACACATTGTCCAATAGAGCGCACCCGTTTCCTCACTTTCTTCTCTAAACGGGTTGTGGCTCCCCCGCGAATCGTCTCGGAGCGATTCCTCGAGTTGTAGGGCTACAACGACCTAGACGCGCAGCTTCATCAATCTGGCCTTTGGCCGTTCATCTCCCGGGCTCGAAAGGAGATCAACCCGGTGCTGATCTGGGCCTTCTACTCCAACCTCCGGCGTGAGGACGACATCATCTACAGCCTCGTCAAGTCCACGCCGATTGAGCTTACCGTGGAACAGCTTGGGTGGATCGCCGGTCTCCCCTTCCAAGGCGACGATGTCTCCCATTATGGCGGAGAGGACTAGGTGCTCAACAACGAGGGCCTTACCCTCAACGAGATTGGCATCACCGAGCTCATCCGCGATGCCATGGGCCGCCCCACCATCCACTCCGCAAATCCCGAAGGCCGTCTCATCCTCTACATCGTGTCCCGGATCATCAAACCTCAGAAGCCGCGTCCACCGACCACGATCACCTCCTCCCGTACCCGTTCGTGGTGATGGACATCCTTGAACAGTTCAAGGTAACCACCACCGTTGGCCTGCTCACGAAGGCCACGAAGCTTTGGATGATCAGCAACCAAACCTTCACAAAGCGGTCGGACAACGCCGCGACTGCCACTGCCACGCCGCACTGCCCCTGCCGCTGCCGCTGGCCCAGCCGAACCCTAGGCCTGGGCCAACCTTGCCTCCATCGCCGACTCCCTCAACCGGCTCCACCTCAAAGTTGACGGGATGGAGGGCTGCCTTGAACGGCTCAACGTGGCTGTTCAACGCCAAGGGTACGCCATGAACGCGTACTTCCAAGGCATCAACTACGTCCCTCCACCACTCCACAGCACATTCCTCGGTGAAGTGTACGGTGATGAGGACGAAGAGGATGGCTCCTACACCCAGTCAAGCTCCCCGGACGAGGATAAGTTCGAAGATGCCATTGATGGTGATGAGATGGACGTCGACAACGACGAGGAGGAAACCGAAGACGAAGACTAGGACACCCCTAGAATTTCTACCTCTTTTCCCTTAATTATCTATTTTTTAATGCTTCCGTTGTACTCCGCTATTTTCCCTTTAATAAATAAAATTATCTTTTATCTTTTTGTTAATGTTAAAAGGGGGAAGAAAAGGGCTATGCATACACTAAGGGGGAATGCCTCTATAAACAAGACCGTTTGATTTTTAATCCGACTATTTTTTAAGCACAAATTAAGGGGGAACTTTTTCACAAATTTTTGAAAATCAAATATCCCTTAGTATGCATATCCCCATCTTGTTTGCCATAATCAAAAAGGGGGAAATTGTTGGAACACGAGTTTACGCCTACGTCGTACTAAACTGTGTTCGTTTTATGACAGGTTTTGATAATGCCAAACCGCTGTGAAATAACAAGGCTAAAGTGAGCAAAACCAAGGCGAAGGAACATGGCTTGATTATTTGAGAACCAAGAATCAAGAACGAAGAATTAGTATTGTATTCAGTTGGACTTAATGTGATCAAGACCGGCACAAACTTTCAAAACTTGGCTCTCTAGGCTCATTTCATCAAAATACTTTTTGAAAATTCAAAAATGTTTTTCATAAGTTTTAAACATGCCTAAAAACACTTGGAGTTCGCCCAAATAAAAAATCAAGCGATCCAGCGTTCGGCTTTCAGAAACCGGCGTTCGGCTTTCGGTTTTCGGCGTTGGTTTTTGGCGTCCGGACCAACCAAGTGGTTTTCAACTTTTTATGATTGGTTTTTACTTCCGGGCATATTTAAATAGTTCTCCAACAAAAACGCTTCAAAAACCACCTTTCGTTTTTAGTCATTTAGTGAAAACCATGCGAGACGGCGTAAGCTTGGCTAGCCATGGTTTTCAAATTAAATGACGTGGGTTTTAAAATGTTTTACTTGATTTCTTAGCAAAATGCTTTAAGCAAACATTTTCAATACCTGTTTTTCATTTTGGAGAACTTACGTTTTTGACATCGGCTAACGGCTGACTAAACCAACCATGGGTCTGGCTAAAACCAGCCCAACAGCGATGTTGGTGAAACCAACAGTGCTGTCTGGCTTGGGTAGCTGAAAACCATGATTTGGCGTTAAGTTTTCCAACAGCGATGTTGGATATTAGACATCGCTGTTAAGCCAAGGTTGGGTTTCCAGAAACATCTGGAATAGCAATGTAGCCTTCCCTACATCGTTGTCCAACCTAAGCCAAAAATATAGTGCATTGGTAGAAAGTTTTTGGACAGCGATGTTGACCCAGCAACAGCGCTGTCAGGCCAAACTTCCACCTTCTTAGTCAAACCTAAACAGCGATGTTCAAGTAATGAACATCGATGTAGAGACCTGACCGTTGGAAGGAATTTAAGGCTAAAACTTTCCTTGTTTGGAAGTCAACAGCCAAAACAACGATGTAGGATTTTTGGACATCGCTGTTGGCATGACCATTGCTTCCCATTTTTTAAAACCCAAGCCTAGAACAGCGATGTCCAAGCCTAAGACAGCGCTGTCTAGGTGAATTTCAGCAGATCCCAATTTAATCAAATCCCACAAATTGTGCCAATCACCCCTTAAATGTTTTGGTCCGTTGGAGCCTATTTTTCCACTATAAAATGGGGTTTTTGGGTCTGTGTTACACATCACATTACTTCACAACTCCTACTCTTTCATTGCAAATCATTCATCCTCTTTTCATAGCTTTTTGAGAGCCATTTTTGTGAAGCTTGTGTTGTGTTCTTGAGCGTTCTTAGTTACTCATTGTCCACTCTAAAAGAGAGTATAGTTCTTGAGAGTTCTTAGTGTTCTTAGACACTTGACAAGAGAAAATATTTCTCTTGTTGTTCGAAGGAAGGGTTGTTTCCTTCGAAGGTTCGTTGAAGTTTGTGTGACTCGAACTCTCAAGTTGTACGGGTTTGTTAAGCACCGTTAAGCTTAACGAGATAGTAGTGTACCTCGAGAGAGTCTCTCGGGAGGCTGGATTAGCCACAAGTTGTGGTGAACCAGGGTAAAATCGGTGTGCCTCTTACTCTTCTCTTTACTTCTCGTTTATTCATTTTTTATTCCTGCGATTTCTTGATTAAACGCTATTCACCCCCCCCTCTAGCGTTGGTCTCTTATTCTAACAAGATCTGATGCATTTAAAGATTAGATCAGACAAATAGGACACAACTTATACAAGTAAATAGATTTTATTAATTTGACGTCAACATTATGTCTAGTGACATGTTCTGATCGATATTGGTTAAGCGGATAACACAAAAATAATGACTATGATTGTGGGCTAGGATTCTGACGAAAGATCACATTTGTAGACTATAGTTGTTGTAAAAAGCGACTGTAATTCACAAACGACGCAAACGGAACAGCCTTTGGAATTGTGTATGACAAAAAAGATATATTATCATTGTGAAATTACACTTTTAGCCCTCAAATTAACACCAACATGATAGAAGATAAAAAAAGGACTATTTGTGGAAAGGTACCCATAAAAGAAGGACCACTTGGGTAATATTTGATAATAGAGGACTAAATAGGGAAACCCCCCATGTTATAAAGGATTAATTATAGAATTTACTCATTAAATAAATAAGAATTATATATTTACGACAATCTATTCATTTAAAGGATTATAAGATACTTTAGAGATTCTAATTGTCTCAATAAAACAAGACTAATCGGGTTGTATTTGTAAATATTTAAATTAAAAGACTGATCAGTGTTAAATAATCAAAAAAATCAAGACGGACCAGGTAGAACTTGTAAATTCTTGTTGATTTATTATAAAAGTTATATAGTTGGGTAAGGATCGACTAACCAAATCCAACGAAGCAAACAGATCTTAATTCGGAGAATGTTAGCCCGAAAAGTGTGTTTTACTCAGACACATTATTTTAATTCGGAGAATGTTAGCCCGCCGCCTCCTCTCTTCTTCTATGTTTCTTCTAGCGGTTTTCTTCTTCGAGCGGTGACGACGGCAAGAAGGCCGCCAATAGCACCGGCCAGCGACACCACTAGACTGACGAACATCCACGGCGAGGACGACCAGCGACAGAGCAAGGATGCGACCGGCCAACCCTTCGATCGAAAGACTGGAATCGACAATCAACGACGAGGGAAGGTCCTTCCGGCGAGACTTCCCCGACCACATCCTCCAACCTTCCCCAATCGGGTTGGCGAGTTGGAGACGGCGGAGATGATGACCAAGAAGGCCTCCGCCGCCGCCGAGTTCTGCTGCGGGAGTAGCTCACCGCCTCCTCTATTGGAGTATCATGACTATCATTAGGCCGGTTAGTTTTTTTTAAGCATTACTCGATCATATTTGTTTAAGTTTTTTTTTGAGTTAGTCTCTTAAGCATCACTTGTTTTCTCAAAATTGCATCAAATAATTAATTACTTTGTCTTCCATTGATCTGTCTTCTTGATACTGAAACTGTTTAATTCAGTTAAATGTGTCATACATAATTTTTTTATTATAAATAGAATCATGAATTTGAGTACTTGAGAGAGAAGTTAGCACAAACGATGTATTATGTATAAAAATTAAAAATTATGGAGTACGTAGTATTCCATTATATTTATCTTGTTGAGAATATTAAAAATTTGATTTCATTGCTTTAATATGCAATGTAAATGTAAAGTAATTGATGATTAAAATTGATCAAGTTTGATTTGAAAAATTCAAACTAACAAATGCATTGGAAGGAAGGCAAAATTCGGGCTGCTCCTCTATTTCACACTCCATATATATAGCTATGGTTCAAAGATAAACTTTCTTAAATTAAAGATAGTTCTTGATCTAGTTTTTTGGGTGTGAATTTTGTATTCATAGCATGGAAATTAATGGTGTATGGATATTATGTTCACTTTATGTTCTTTATCCTTTTTCCTCGTTTGTTTGTTTGTACACTCGAGTTGTGGGACTGGGTGGTATTGGTCATATGGTTGTCAAGTACGCCAAGGCTTTCGGGTTATTGTCATCAGAACCTCCCTCTGCTGACAAAAAGCAATGGTAAGCTTATTGAAGACCAATGGTAAGCTTGTATTGGTTGGTCTCCCGGAGAAACCCCTTGACTTGTCGGCATTTCCATTGATCATGGGTATGTAATATTTTAGCCACACTTCCATTCACGTGTTGTACATATCTCTGCTCCGCCTTAGCATTGATCTAAAATGAACTAAATGACATTAATTTCATGTTTTGATTGTGGATCGCATGCAGAAAACTGGTTGCAGGAAGTGGCATCGGTGGAATTAAGGAGACTTAAGAAATGATGAACTTCTCAACCAACATAACATCACGCCCGATGTTGAGATTGTGGCGATGGACTATGTCAACACTGCCATGGAACGCCTGGCCAAAGCCGACGTGAAATACGGATTCATATTGGATTTTTCCACAAAGTATTACTAAACTAGATCACCATTTTGCAGGTGTGCTGTTCTTGTTCTGTTCTTCCGCTGCAATATACTCTTCGTCTCTCTCTCTCCCTACACACACACACACACACACACATATATATATGGGGTTTTTTGTTGCCACTTATTTTTTTCTCCAATGTTATTTGTTTTTTTTGTAACTCCCTGTTGTGTAGATCATTGCTCCTGTTACATTCATTCATCACATCAAAATAAGTTTTTATTGTGTAACTTGACTTAGTTATCTGTTTCAAACGCACGTTCTAGTTGGCTGTCTCCAACAATTGGTTCTTGATTCACAACAATCATTTCAGGAGTTATTGGGTTTCTGCTGGCAGGTGGAAGATTTAAGTTCAATCCACGAAGATTCTCAAGGATTGGGTTCCTCACTTGTTCCTCTGTAGGAGCAACAACTTGTATCATAGGAATATGATGGATTGAAGAGGCAGGCATGTAGAATATGCAAATTGTAGGGAAGATGATGTAAATATTAGATGTTAATAATATTTTAAATGTAAGAATTTATATATTGTTCAATATATTGTATTTTTTGAATTTATATTTATTTGGTAATCAACACAAGATAACAGATGTCTAATAAAAAATTCAACTACCATTCAAACTAATAGTGAGGCAAATATCTTTAGTAATCTTTAGAGTAGCTGTCTGATAAACAATTCAACTACTGTCATAAAAGGTAATTTGAATACTTCAAGGAAAACTACAAAACATCGTTGGGTTAATAATCAATATACAACTAAAACTAACAGTAATTTGAATAAGAATAATGTTAGTAGTCCATATTCTAGAAATACAATAAAAGATAACAGTTGTTTAATGCTATTTTTGTCTAGTAGTCTTCCAAGGAGCAGTCTGATATATCTTTCAATTACTTTTTAAAGTAGATGTCTATATTGTTGAACGACAACACCAAGAATTAGGAGTCTAAAGTTAAAAACAACAATAGTATTCATTATAGATAGACAACAAAAAATCACAGTTCTCTTTAACTCTAAAAACAAATGTCATACTCATACAAGGATAACACTAAAAAGTCGTATTCTAAAACATTACAAAACAGGTATCGTCAACCATTTTACACAATTGTTTTTAAACAATAGTCTGTAAATATATGAGACAGCTACTCGGAAGACTACTAAAATCAGCACCGTGAGACTACTAAAAGAAACAGTTGTCAGCATAATATACATATTGATGATCTAAACATTCTTATACATATTGAATCATCCAAATGGGACATTTTGGTGTTCTTAATATATAATATTGTAAATACGAGGTTTGTTTTGTGAGGTATGTAAATAATATGTGTATTGAATAAATTTGAGTACAATAAAGTTATTGAAATACTTTAAATGAGTTACGGCCCGTTTGGAAATAGCGTTAGCACTCTAGATAAGTTTTTAACGGTGTAAATTAACTTTGAAAATTCAAAATAATAATGGTAACCTCTAATGTTATTCCCAAATATGCCCTTATTATATTTGATATCTAATGGCAACAAGATGTTATGTAATACTTGGAGTACTAATTTCACTATTAAGAGTAAACTTTGAATCTGCTTGACCATTGTTGTAAGATGTTTTAACTTGAGTAGTTGAAGATAGAATTACCAAAAAAATTTTTAGATGGGAATCTCGCTCATGTTCAAACATCATTGGCGATAATGGTTCTCTTTTCTCTATTAATATTAGAGTGTAATTGATTCAACAGTAGTGAAAATGTTAAACATACTAAAGAGAAAATCTGAGATCTCGCTCATGCATGTTAAAACCTCAATTAACCTTTTTATTTTCATAAAACAAATTGAGTATTGTAAATGTGCTGAGTCTTTAATATTTTTAGTGCTTTCTTCATACCATCATAAAGTACCATAGAATATGGACGTGCTACCAAATAAAAGAAGTAAAGGTGAAACTTCTTCCAAGTACACCAAAACTTTAACATTTTTTCCAAATAGCACCGAACAAGTTTTTTCCCAAAACTAACAATAAATAAATAAATAATTTATTAATAATATCCATTTTCTAAAAGAACCTTGTATCTTAATCACTTTGTGCTCCATATAAAACTCTCTTTGATCGATTTTCTCTTTCTTTCATTCATTGTTTATCTTTTCCTTTTGATAGACTTTGTAAAAATTTTGGACATTGTCCACCGATCTAGGACAATGTAAAAATTGTAGACATACTGTTCCCGGACATTGATGGCTAATGCAGTGGACATTTATAATTACGATAAAGTTCTTTTTAATCGAGAATGTCTTGACAATGGACATGTAGACATTAACAACGTTTAGGGGTGAGCAAGAACCGAACCGATCTCATTATTTTCCGAAAAAACCGAGAATACCGAACCAATAAAGTACCGCAAAGTAACCGAACTGTACCGAACCGAACGATCGGTTTGGTATTTGGGAACGGTACGAGGTTTCTTCCATACCAAAATTCCCGAACCGAATATATATACTAATATTCTATAAAAATGATAATCTTTTTATATTTCTCCATTAAATAAAAAATTTATATAGACAATTTCGTTTAATTTCATTATGTTTAAGTTGTACTTTAATAAGACTTTTTTATTTTTTGTAGATGAATATAAGAATATTAACAAACATTTGAAATAATAATTTGTTATCACTCGTTCTCTTTAGTTTGTGAAATATAAACTAACTTTCATAAGCATTTCTTGCATTTTATTTTTCATTTTTAAATTTTTTTTATCTTTCTTTGGTTAAATGTACTTTCGGGTTTTCAAAAATAAAAAGTTTTGCTACATTTTATGGTGTAAACTAGGTACA